TCTATGCGAGTGAAATGGGAAGTCATTGTTTCTTCCACCTCTAGCAGATAATTCACCTACAATCTGTACTGATGCCATAGGCTCAACTGGCTTTGCAGTAATCTACAACAATGATTGGTTATGCCGCACTTAGCCAACAGAGACTAAAGACACATCTAGATGCCTTTAAAGACACATATCTCTTTTTGAGGTATACCCTATAGTAGCCACAGCCCAAACCTGGGGTCACTTTTGGTCGGGTCAGATTATTAAATGTTTGTCTGACAATCCAGCTGTATGTTTTATTGTGAATAGAGAGCGGTCACAGTCCTTGACCATTATGAAAGTTAACAGGAAATTGACCTGGTTAGCAGCAAAGTACCAATTTAATTGTGTGCACATGTACCTGGAGTCAACAATATTGCATCTGATGTATTATCTTGTTTCAATTTTCAGGCCTTTTTTCAAGCACACCAAACCGCCTCATGCAACAGAAACTCCGAACTTTCACCAATTAATTATGGATGAAATCGCCTTTTTAAACATAGCAGATATCTAGCACAAGCAGCACTATCAGCAAAACGTCTTCAATAATGTAACAGGGCATTCAATTTTTTAAAAATAGTTTCAGAAGAGTTTAATATCCATGACTTATTCTTGATGGAATCTTTGGTAACTTTTACAGCTTTTTGCCACCTTAGGATAAAACGTTCACACAACACAATCAAAATACCTTACTTGTATACAACATCAAATATTGACTTTATACCTGAATAAACATGCTTTCATTGCATCATATTAGATAAAAAAACATACTAACAGGTATTCAGGAAACTAATCAAACTCAAACAACCAAGTGACACCCTATAAACAGTGATATATTTCTTTATCTTATTTACTCGACTCCTCTACGTCTGAGTCTCATACTAACCTAGTAATTGAGACTGCAATATACTTGGATTCCTTAGATCCAGAGAAATTACCGGTGAAAGCTTTACCAAAACAGGGCAGTACTTAAAAGTTGGCCATTTAGTAAAACATTCTGACCATTATACAGTTTGCCAGCCCCATACGAAAACCAGCCAACTGGGTCGAATTATTAAAATATTAGTTTACCCTACACATAATAAGTGTGTGTTTTCCTCTCTATTCTCACTTCTCACATGCCCTGTGAAAAAATCAACATCTAGGGACTGTCTCCTAGCCATCAATAATCTTATTTTTCCCATCAATCATATCTTTTTTTTTTTATTCCGATTATTGAGCCCCTTCCCCTACATCTTTGGCATTGAGCTGTTCAGTTAATCTGGTATTTGGGTACAACTTTCTAAATTTGTAAGTGTGGCCAAAAACCCGATCGTCCCCATTTTGACCAAATTGCTGTTCAGTCAAAAATGAATCTCCAAGCCTACTAAATACCAATACATCCTAACCACCAACTCTAACCCTAACTGTAACTGCATCCTTAAACACTAACTGTACCCTAACTAGGGAGACCGTATCAGGGTTTTCCAGATCACACATGTCTCCGTCTCTTAGAGGTATCAGGCACAAACAGAAAGAAAATGTGCGAACATAACATACAGCAGTTGTTAAAATCAAATAACCAAAAGACTTACTGCACAATACTGTATAAATATGAATATGTAATAAAACTTTTATCAGTCAACGTCAGACACTATACAGTAGCCTTGGGTAAAGGATGTGCACAATGCTATTTAATTAGCTTAAAAGAAAAATAAAGCAATACTTGTAAGAATGACCATAAAATATATTTTGTGGCTTACATGACCTTTCAGTAGGATCAAAGTCCTAACTTTACAGTCAAAATTTCCTCCTTCTCTTGAATTATAAATTATGCATAAGGGTGTTCAACTTAAAGTGAAAATGTGAAATTATATATATATATATATATATATATATATATAGGGCCGGATTAACATAGGGGCTGATGGATCTGAAGCTCCAGGCCCTGGCCCATGGAATAGGCCCATTGATTGTAAAAAAATAAATAAAATTGGGGGTTTTTTTTGGTTTTTTTACACACTACTCTTAGGGTTGCCACCTGGCTGGTGTTTATTTGAGGCTGGCTATACCGGCAATACAAATGCCTATATTTTTCTCAGTATAAACAGAAATTACTCTGCAATACCAGCACCGGCCAGTAGGGTTCGCTGTATGTGTAGAGAGGGGCAGGGATAGGAAGTTACAGCATCTCCCTCCCTGCCTCTCTCTAATCACTGATCCGCAGGGGAGCAGCTACACAGCACAGATAGTCCAGACAGCAGCTCCCAGCCTGCAGAGACAGCCTACAGCTCAGGGAAGTGAGGCTTGGGGTAAAGGCTGCAGAGGAACATGGAGACACTGAGACACTAGGGGATGAAAGGTAAATCTGCTAATCTGGTGACTCGGTCCCTCTGGCCACGATTCTCCAACCCTCGATTGTCAGCTGAATTCAGGGAAGAATTATGGAAGCAAAATAACGAGACGGACACAAGGTTGCTTTCCAAGAGTCTTCTGATCGTTTATTCAAGACTCGCTATATTTATACTATACTTGTCACGAATATTGATTACAAAAGGCTACAAAAAGGTTACACAAGATACATAAATGAGGAAGTAGTTTCTGCTGTTACATTCAATAATCTAATCTTACAAAATATCACATATACATTGTGGTTAGGCATTTCCTGATACATAGAAACTGTCATGGCTTGTGACTTCCTTTCAGTTATGTTTTGTAAGAAGTTCTAAACAATACTGACAGAGTAATTGTTTAACCCCTTAAGGACCAAATTTCTGGAATAAAAGGGAATCATGACATGTCATGTGTCCTTAAGGGGTCAATATTCCTTCATTTTCCCCTCTTTGAGCAATATCTTGCTCATACCCTATTTAAGGAGTCCTGGTCAGACAACCAGCCATCTGCCATGGTATATTCAGGATTGCTAGCCAATCCTGCAGGTCTTTCATTATGTCTTCGGCCACTATTCCCATAGCATAGGACTAGGCATCTGACCAGTACCACAAACTTATAGATCTGTATCAGCATGTACACCATTGCTTCGGTTATGTGTATACATTTGGAGATACTCATCATAGCAAGCTGGGGATTTTACAGGAACAGTGTTGCGTGTATGTTTGTAAATGCAGAATACAATAATCTTGAAAATAGCATAAACAAGTAGAGCAAGGATCAGAACCATAACAATAAGTATTGCAATATTCTTTAACCAGTCTAGGATACTGTCAAACTTAAACATATCTGCCCATGGGTGATCAATACCTGAATTCCTCTTCATTTCTATGGACAGGTCTTCCAATTTCTTTATAGCTAGGGTTACTTTACCATTAGGGCCAGTGTTCTCTGGAATATAGGTACAACAAACACCGGAGTCAAGTAATTTACAGACTCCTCCCTTTTCTGCTAAAATCATATCAAGGGCCATTCTGTTCTGAAAAGTCATTTGTGAGGTAGCCTGTAATTGTTCAGCAAGACCTTGTAATGCATCTCGTGTATAATTTACGAATCTTTGCTGATTATAATATATATAATTAATCCAGTTAACATTCTTGTTAGCTGTTATAATGGGAAATATTGATTCAAATCCTGCTGCTACCTCATCTCTAGCTTTAAATTCATTAGGGACCCCTCTTGGAATACCAATGGCATCTAGATAGATATGTGGGTCGAAACTACCTTGTGGGGATTCCCTTTTCCTTCTTGTGGAATTAGTTACAACCTTAGTTTCAGGTAGAGAGTCGCCAAATATATGGAGGGGCATGATTATTTTGGCTGGGGCACATTCTCCTCTCCAGGGAGTGGGGAGTCTAGAACGTATTTTCATATCTCCACATATCCAATAAACGTCTCCAACAGATTGTGTTTGATTCACTAAGGTAATATTACTGTAGGCGGAGCAGAATCCTGAAGAGAAGTTATCAAATTGTTTACCAACCTTACCATTATTATTTCCCTGAAAACAAGTATAATTACCAGGGTATATTGAGACAACATCATTTAATTTAAACTTGGGTTCACCAATAGGGTGACCCTTTTTCCATTCTTCACATCCTGTAGTATTAACAGTGGTACCTGAAAACAAACTTAGGAAACATTCCCAGTACTCATCAGGGACATGTAAAGGTACAGTTCCTAGATGAGGTCTGGCACTACCACATACATAACAGTTTGACCTATTGTTGGAATGGGCATTATATCTCATCCATTCCAGCCATAGGTTTGTATCTGTATACCCTGTTTCTAACGCTATGGTATCGCCAAACGTGGGATCTGCTATGGCCATCATATCACCAAGGGTTTGAATATGGGGCTTTAGAGGATTAACAAGGGTTTGTCTAGAGGTGAGACTCTCCCATTCTGAAGAGTTCCACATATCTTTTAACTGGAATTTTCCTCGATTACCTCCAATACCTCCTCTTAAAAAGGTACTGAGAATATAGGTACCTTGATCTCCAGGACTGGGGTTTTCAATATTTAAGGTCAATTTCATGGAATGCCCAGTTTGTCCTGTAGGGGTACATGTACCTGGTTTTGTTAGGGTCATTCTAGTCAAGAGGGACTTCCCATTCATATCCTTTTTATCTAATGCATTTTTTGGCTTATAACCCCAATCTGTCCCGGTGTTCCATCCAACTGAGCCCCAAGAATCACAATTATTTCCCCAGTAATTATCGGTGACACATATATACGTGGAATGTCTGGCGGCATACATATTACATTGCCAATGAACCGTGGGGCAGACTACTATATTACAATAGTCAAATGTGAAAGTTGCCACTGATGTACTTGATGAATTGAACCAAAATTGGTAGTTATTATCAGTTCCCTTAATTATAATCACTTGGGGTTTATTGTCAGTGGGAGGGCTTTGTAGCATATGTTGGAGGCTTCTTTTTACTCGAACAGAATAGTTAGAAGTGTGGTGAGCCCCTCTTTGGTCAATACTGTGTGTGGTCTTACAGAGAGGTATTGTAGGGTTTTCAGGATGGTAGTAGCAATCACTGATCAAAAAGATCGGGAGAAAGATGCATAAGGAAATAATCAGAAGGACAATCAGGAATCTGACATCCAGATCTTTCATGGTCAGACTCTTGGTTGATATCTCTATCTTGGTCTTTGTCTTTGTCTTTGCCTTTGTCTTTGTCTTTGTCTTTGTCTTTGCTCAACTTAACTCGTGATGCATGGATCCAAAGGTCCTGGGAATCTGTGAGGACGGCCGTCCGGGTCACAGCGATGATGGTGGTTGGTGGTCCAAATGGATATCCTCCCTTCTTATGACGACTTAACTGTTTGATATACACCACATCTCCAGGTTTGAAGGGATGAGTTGGTTTCTGTGAAGGCAAAGGAAACTGCGAAGAGACATTGCCATATATACCGTTCAATTTAATCAACAATTCATGCACATATTGTTCCTGTATTAGTTGCAAATCACCAGGCATTATTACAAGCGGTTCCTTGGCCCAAGGAGTGGGAAAAGGGCGTCCCATAAGGATCTCAAAAGGAGATAATTTGGTCACCTTGTGGGGAGTCATTCTTATCTCAGCTAAAATAGCTGGAAGATATTTAGTCCAATTCACCCATGTGCCTGTAGTAGCTTTAAGTAATTTCTCCTTAATAGTTCTGTTCATTCTTTCCACTACCCCTGAACTCTGTGGATGATATGGAATATGGAATTTCCATGTGATCTGAAGCCATTTAGCCAATTCCTGTGTCACTTTACTTGCAAATGCAGGCCCATTGTCTGAATTAATCTGTAATGGGCATCCATACCGTGGTATGATTTCTGTAGCTAGAATTTTAACTACCGTTTTGGCATCTTCTTTATTTGTTACAAATGCCTCGGGCCAGCGGCTAAACTGGTCAACAATGACCAGTAAATATTGTTGGTGTTTCCCTGTTCTTGGGATATGGGTAAAATCGATTTGTAAATGTGTAAAAGGTGCAGTAGGTGGTGGAAGGTGGTCATGCTGTGGTTTGTTGGGTGTGTTTGGATTGGCTCTCATACATGGTTCACATGATTGTAAGAATTGTTGAACATGTTTGCGAAGGTTATTAATGCAAAAAGAATCTTGCAGGGTTTTCATAGTGTTTGCCATGCTTCTATGGCCCGTACCATGTGCCTGACTAATAAAAATGGCTGAACTAGCCTCAGGGATACCTATCTTCCCCTCTTTGGAGTAAAGATTAAAATGATCTTTCTCCAAACCATGTGTTTTCCAAAAGTCCAGGTCAGTTTGCGTGGCAAATGATTGTAATTGGGAAAGTAGGGAAACATCAGGGCATGAAGGTGGTAAAAGAGGAAAAGTGTCAACTAGATGAGTGTTACTACCTGGATCTGTAGGATAAACAAGAGCAGCCTCTTTTGCTGCTTTGTCTGCCAGGGCATTACCCTGTGAGACAAAGTCTTTTCCAAGGGTATGTGCTTTACAATGGATAATGGCAACCTGCAGGGGAGCCTTAATAGCATTGAGTAAATCGGTAATTAGGGCACCGTGGGCAATAGGTTTGCCATCAGCACCCACAAAACCACGACGTTGCCAAATAACACCAAAATCATGGACCACACCATGAGCATAGCGTGAGTCAGTATAGATATTAACCTTTTTATTTCGGAACAAGAGGCATGCTCGTGTAAGGGCAAACAATTCACATGATTGGGCAGAGGAGAATGGAGGTGAGCCTGATTCAAGAATGAAGTCAGGCAGTTGAACAACAGCATAACCTGAAAGATAAACACCATCTGAGGGTCGGGAGCAAGAACCATCGACAAAAATATTTTCAGCATCTGGATCAGGGAGAGGGGTGGATAATAAGTCAAGTCTGGGAGAAGTTTGATGGTGGATAGAGTCCAGACAATCGTGTGTAAGAAAAGGGTCAAAGCTGGAAGTGGGGTCAGAGGTAGATAAGGTAGAAGTGGAGGAGGAAGAGAGAATAGCATGTAAAACAGCCATGAGGCCTGCTCCTTGTGGTGTGTAAACAATGGATAAATTCTGTGTGTTGAGGAGAATGATCTCATATCCACTAAGGCGTTGAGCTGTCATGTGTTGTGTGGTAAGGTGTTTGAGTAAGTGCTGGACCTGGTGCGAAGTATGTAAAATAGTGGGGTGACCCAGAGTGATAGTGGCAGCAGTTTCAACTGCCATGGCGCATGCTGCCAATGCCCGGAGACAGGCCGGCATTCCTTGCACGGGCATGGGCATGACTTTGGAAAAAAACGCTACGGGGCGTAAACCACCTCCATGCTCTTGAGCACAGACGGCAGCCATGGTTTTACAATTGTCCTTAGCATATACATGAAATGGTTTAGTATACAGCGGCAGGCCCAGAGCCGGAGCTTGAACAATAGACACTTTGAGAACCAAAAATGCATTTTTCATGTCTGGGGACCAACAGACAATATCAGGGCTATCGGTTGTGGTTGATTTTCGTAACATGGAGTCATAGTGAGAACACTCAGGGATCCATTGACGGCAATAATTAATGATGCCAAGGAAGGTGAGCAACTCCCTTTTAGTAACAGGCATTGGGATCCGCTGAATGGTCTCTACTCTCTTGGGACTCAATCGTCTGGTACCAGCAGCCAGAACAAAACCCAGATAGGCAACCTGTGGTAAACACAACTGCATTTTGTGTTTTGCAACCTTGTGACCCTCAGCTGCCAGATGTTTGAGCAGACTGATGGTGTCACTAACACATGCTTCACGACTCGGGCTACACAAAAGTAGATCATCAACATATTGCAATAGGACTGAACCATGACTGGGGTACCATGCTTTGAGAGTATGCTGGAGTACCAGAGAATAAACTGCTGGTGAATCCACATAGCCTTGGGGGAGTCTAGTCCATGTAAGTTGTTGTCCTTCAAAAGTGAAAGCGAGCAACAACTGTGTCTCCGGGTGTACAGGTACAGAAAAAAATGCATTGCTGAGATCTATAACTGTAAAACATGTAGCATCATGAGGGATGGCAGTGATGAGAGAAACTACATCTGGGACAATGGGTGCAATGGGGGTGATAAGTGCATTTAATGCCCTAAAATCTTGAACTAATCTATATCCTTCTCCTTTAGGGACTGGGTTAATAGGTGTATTGTAAGGTGAAACAGTGGGTATTAGAATACCTTGGGAGAGAAAGGATTCAATCATAGGTTTAATACCTTTGATCTTGGAATCAGACAATGGATACTGTTTGAGGTAGATAGGGTCATTGAACTTTAGCTTAGCTTTGTAAGGAGTGCAGTTAACAAAACCTACATCTAGTTTAGAAGATGCCCAAACAGAAGAAGGGACAAGGGAGAGGTCAACAGACTCAGAAGAAAACATGAATAAATCTAACCCACCTGTGTTTGAACATGTAATAGTGGCCCCTAAAATGCCTAGGAGATCCCTTCCCAGAAGGCTGACAGGACAGTTAGGGATTAGACGAAAAGAGTGTGTAGTGTGAAAAGAATTCAGAGGACAGAAGACAGAGAGAAGTGGGGTACAAAATGTAGATGTCGACACTCCATTAATTCCCACAGAAGGTTCTGCTTTTGTTCTTGGCCCCTCATAGTATGACATGCAGATACTGGAGCAAGTGGCTCCAGTATCTACCAAAAAGGGAATAGGTTTCCCCTCTATGTGTAAAACATAGAAGGGTTGTGACATACTATTGTTGGACAACTGGAGAAAGGCAGGGGTGTCACCTTCCGGGCAGCCCTATTGGGGCCATGGAATATGGTGGGAAACTTGGTTCTGGGGCTGCTGTTGTTGTGACTGGTGTTGTGACTGGTGTTGTGGATTTATAATTGACTGTGAATATGGGTTGGCAGTGGTTTGATTAGTAGAGGTCTGTTGGCGATTTGTGGACTTGGGTGGGAAAGGACAGGAACTACGCCAGTGTCCCTGTTGGCCACAATTAAAACAGGTCGAGCGGTCTTGATAGGGAGGTCCCTGGTATCTACCTCTCTGAGAAAACCCCCCTCTTGAATAACCACCTCGTTGCCTGGTTCTATAAGCTCCATCCCAACCTCTTGGTCTAGCATCTAGGATATTGGAGTGTGCCAACCCTTGGACAATGAAAGCATTAGACTTAGGAGGGCCCTGTGGACCTTGTGGTGGAAAGTCAAAACACCCAGCATTATCCTTCTCTTGGATTTTAACTAGGAATTCCTTACTAGGGAGTGAGGGCCATTCTGAGATTAATTGCTTCACAAGTAAACTGTATGCCGGTAGCATATTACCAATGCAAGTCTGTAGTTTAAGGACGTCCATTTGGTTATCAGAGGACAATCCTGCCTCTTCCTTCCAACACTTAAAAAATCTTTTAACATATACAACAATACTCTCATGCTTAAGTTGTTTACAAGATAAAGCAGAGGTCATTGAGGAACTGTCCTTATACAATCTAAATAGCTCTTTACTAATCTCATCCCACATATTATCTTGTCCTTCTTTGGTGGTTAATTTATAAATATCATGGGTAGTAAAGGCTCCTGTGGTAATCATGGTTCCTGTATCTGGAATATCTATACTGGGTACTTTACTCCATTCCCAACCGGATTCTGAATCATATCCCAGAATGCCATCAATAATAAGTCTTATATCAATTTGAGTCATATTTTGGCCTTGACAACTTCTTTTTAAATACATCAAACAAGCTGAGGGGTTTTTTCTAGGGTCCGGTGAGCCTTTAACAATATCTCTGAGAACACTGGGCGGGAGGGGTTTCATTATTAGTTGAGACCCTACTGTCATAAAAGGAAATGAATCCTTTGGAGGCTTGTTCTTATGTTGTCCAGAGAACCCTACAACTTGGACATTTGCTGAGAGTGATTTATTGTTTTTAGAACCTTCCTCATGGTCACTATCTATACTGTCCCTCTCTATTGGTGGCATGGACCCTTCACTATCAGAGTCTTGTTGTTGTGCTTGCCTAGTTTTGGACCTTGTCTGCATGGTATGGGTTTCTGTGTCATCTATTTCATGATCTTTTAGAATGATCTTATCTTTCTGATCAAACTCAGAATATTTTAAATTTTTAACACTTAAAATGCCTTTTCTGTTGGTAACCTCTGTGGCAATAGCCATCAGAAGGTCATCATCATCATCTATATTAGTTTCTGAAGTATTACTACTGTTCTTATCCTTTGTTGGCTGGGATTTTAAATGGGTAAGTGATGGATAAGTACCAGTGGATGGTGAAATAAAAATAGGTTTTGAGGTAATGGAAGAATCATATGGGGGTGGTGGAGGTGGCGAGGGGGCACTAATAGTAACTGGTGGACACTTTACGTGATCTGGTGGACAGATACCTTTTTGTGAGGCTTCAAATTTCTTTTTACCTTTTAACACTTTTCCAGTAGGATCAGTGGGGTACCAATGGGACGCTATTCTCAACCATTGTATGCCTCCCTTTTCCATGTAGTCCTTATTCCAATCTGGATCTGGACCGTACCATGGCCATGCAACTTTGTCACCCAGACAAAAGACCCTTAACCATATTCATATGGTATTCATCATTGGCCCCCAATCTAGGAAAAGGATTTGCAGATTCCATAACTTCTGACCATCCTGCAAGATTGGTCACAAAGGGAATAGTATGGTAACTGCCACTAGGACTAACACGGGACACATATCTTACACATGACTCCCCAGGGTGTGGTGCAGGATAATCAATGGACTGGTTATTTCCCATTCCTAGGGCAAATCTTTCAAACACTTATTCACACTTACAATCACCACAAGATTTAACTAATGACAATTAGAGGGTGGACAAGGTGAGCCTATTTCTTGTGTACACGTTTCTTTATCCTAGTATATTCACTTATATACTAAATCATTTGTCTATTTACTTATAAACACCTTATTACTGTCTAGTTCTCTTACTAGGCCTATCTAGCTCACTTACTAGAAATATATATCTCTCTGTCTAGTTCCCTTACTAGACTAATTTAAACGGGACCTTATGTAAAACTGAGTCACATAAAACACATATACTAAATAACCTTTCCTAAAATGATGTAGACTTACAAAACCATGGGGATCATAGATTCAGGGCGTCAAGATAGACACAAGGAATTACTACTCACCCACAATGGTTTGGCTACAATCCCACTTCTGACACCAAGCTGAAAGGTAAATCTGCTAATCTGGTGACTCGGTCCCTCTGGCCACGATTCTCCAACCCTCGATTGTCAGCTGAATTCAGGGAAGAATTATGGAAGCAAAATAACGAGACGGACACAAGGTTGCTTTCCAAGAGTCTTCTGATCGTTTATTCAAGACTCGCTATATTTATACTATACTTGTCACGAATATTGATTACAAAAGGCTACAAAAAGGTTACACAAGATACATAAATGAGGAAGTAGTTTCTGCTGTTACATTCAATAATCTAATCTTACAAAATATCACATATACATTGTGGTTAGGCATTTCCTGATACATAGAAACTGTCATGGCTTGTGACTTCCTTTCAGTTATGTTTTGTAAGAAGTTCTAAACAATACTGACAGAGTAATTGTTTAACCCCTTAAGGACCAAATTTCTGGAATAAAAGGGAATCATGACATGTCATGTGTCCTTAAGGGGTCAATATTCCTTCAGGGGACACTGTGAGACATGGGGACACTGAGATATGGGGACACAGACACACATGGGAACACTGAGACCTGGAAACACTGAGACACTAGGGGATGCTGGAAGACATGGGGACACAGACACTTGGGGAAACAGACACACACAAGGACACTGATACACTTGGGAACACTGGGATACATGAGGACAATGAGACACTAGGGGCTCAATGTCCCTAAGTGTCTCAGTGTCCCCATGACTCCCAGCGAGTGTCCCTAGTGTCTCAGTGTCCCCATGTCTCCTAGTGTCTAAGTGTCCCCACGTCTCCCAGTGTCCACATGTCTTTGTGTCCTCTAGTGACATGGGGACACTGGGAGACATGGGGACATAGACACTATGGGACACTGGGCAACATAGGGACAAAGACATGGGGACACTGGGAGACATGGGACACTGAGACACTGTGATACATAGGGACACTGTTCTGGTTACATGATCCACGTTAGTGGCCCACCCTTTTACACCACCCATTGATTTCCTACTTCACTGGACACTGCTGTTAGGGGGGGGTATGGATTTACTTGAAAGGATAAATTAGAGAGAGATTAGCATATTTTAAGAGAATCAGAGTTTTCTTATGGCTGCATGCTATTAGTTTCCCTTCTGCAACATCTCTACCAGATACATAACGCTTGAGAGGTATGACTGTTTTAGTGTTTTTGTTCGATAAGATTCTGTACTTAGGCCCCTCATAATTGTCAGCACCAGGTCCACTGGGCTCTTAAGCTGGCCCTGTATATATATATATATATATATGTATATATATATATATATATACATATATATATATATATATATATATATATATATAAACAGAAGATGTCCCTGCACTCAAGCTGAACATAAATAAGTAAATTGCCAGGTGCAAGCCAAGGCTCAAATGTATCCAGAAAAAGTAACAAGTGTAGCTGCACTCACGGTCTGTAGTTAAAATATTCAGTTCTGATCCTGAGAAAAGTCCACAAGGGGGACTGAAACGTTGATCCAATTTTAAAATGAATCAATAAAGAATTGAAGATTTTAACTACGGACCGTGAGTGCAGCTACATTTGTTACTTTATATATATATATATATATATATATATATATATTGCAGTATAGTGATAGGTGCATTTTCACCATTTGCTTCACAGATCAAGATAAAAAAAGAGTAGAATATAGAAGATTATATATATATATATATATAAAATGCAAAAAACGAGAGCACTCACTGGATTTGATATATAAGTACTTGTATTTTAAATGAACATACCAATCGACGTTTCGACCGTCTCGCGGTCTTTATCAAGATGTCCCCACAGTGTGACAAATCATCATTATATAGTAGTGAGAAATAAACTTACCCAATCATCAAAGTGATCAATAACCGATGTTGAAACCGTCATGTGATAGACGCCACTGGCGCGCGCCATTGCGTGCGTGGTGACGTCATATCACATGACCCCAGTGAACCGGGTTGCCTAGTGACAATCCCAGCGTGTGCAACATATCAATTAAAAACATCAAGGAGGATCTATAACAATATCACAACATTGAATGCATGGCCACAAATTTACAATACATAGTATACCACATTAGAACTGATTCAAAGTATTTCTCTATCTGATAACTGTTTCCTAAATAACCGAGCTGAATTAAAAGACGCTAAAATTAGTGATCAATCCATAATAATTATGCCCAAACAAAAATATATGTATGCATGTAGACGAGGAACAACCTTTATCAGATGAAATGATATCAAAATCACAAGATTGTGCAAAATTAATCAATTTGCAAAAACCCTCATTATATATTAGTTATGTTGCTGTGAAAAACTGCTTCTTAACGTTGTACTGTGTAATAAGAAATCTGTACAGGCTAAACCGTAAATTGCAATTTATGATTTCTCAACCTTAATGTAACCTATTAAGGGTTCCTATCCCTAACTCTTAATAAATGAGAGGATCTCGGCAAGGAGCTATGACTACCCACAGAGGTACAGTGTGGGTCTTTTGTGAATTATGTGACCAACGTTACGGTGATGTATATATGTATATAATGTGAAAATATATGGTGTGTGAAGTGATGTGTTGTGAATTGCTAAATGTGAAATACGTATAAAAATATAAAAAATATGAAAAATGTGAAAACTCACTCGGTCCACTAGAAATACCACAATCAATCTACACAGGGTATGTATGTGTTACTGATGGTATATAATATCATCAGTGTGAATAAGAGTATTCTGGAGTCTAAAATAAGACCAGAACACATGTGTATGAGAACTGCATGTTACAAAGGTGTCTAAAAGTGCCAACCTCACCTAATACATAGACCTCTGTGTCTTGGATATCAAACAAGGGATAGGATAGCTAACACTTCTCGGTCAAAGAGAACAGTAAATCAATATGATAATCACTTCAATCACTAGACCAAGGCCCGATTTTTTTCTCAAAAATCAACGAGTATTCAAAAAACAATTGAAAGAGTTATACTCATTCAGTCCCCGTGGTTGCACCGTGTCCAAATGTTTGATCCAAAAAGTTTCTCGCTGTAAAAGTCTTTGAGATCGGTCTCCGCCCCTCATCAAAGGTGGAACTTGATCGATGGCAATAAATCTCAACGTTGGTAAGCGATGCTGAAATTCTAAGAAGTGTTTCGCAACTGGCTTCTCTGTTTTACCATCACGAAAGGCCGTCATGATCCCTGATCTATGTCCCCGGATCCGATCTCGTAGTGTCATGTCAGTTTTGCCCACGTAATATTTCCCGCAAGGGCATGAAATCAAATAGATCACATGATCGCTTAAGCAGGTAATTCTATGCTTAATTTGTATCCTCTCGCCTGTGTGTGGATGTGCAAACGAAGAACCAGTGAGCATATGTCCACAGGTAACACAGCCTGAGCACTTAAAACAGCCTTTCCGGATATTATCTGTTAGAGGACTATAGGATTTTAAGATGTCAGTCTTGACCAGAATATCCCTAAGGTTTCTGTTTCGTTGAAACGCAATCCTTGGAGAGTGAGTAAACTTTTGATTTAACGTCTTGTCCGAAGATAAAATATCCCATCTTCTCCTGATGGTTTGTGAAAATTTTGAACTTTGGGCGTGATACTGTAATGGAATCGTGATGCCTTGATTCTTCTTTTTTTTTGCACAATCTTGTGATTTTGATATCATTTCATCTGATAAAGGTTGTTCCTCGTCTACATGCATACATATATTTTTGTTTGGGCATAATTATTATGGATTGATCACTAATTTTAGCGTCTTTTAATTCAGCTCGGTTATTTAGGAAACAGTTATCAGATAGAGAAATACTTTGAATCAGTTCTAATGTGGTATACTATGTATTGTAAATTTGTGGCCATGCATTTAATGTTGTGATATTGTTACAGATCCTCCTTGATGTTTTTAATTGATATGTTGCACATGCTGGGATTGTCACTAGGCAACCCGGTTCACTGGGGTCATGTGATATGACGTCACCACGCACGCAATGGCGCGCGCCAGTGGACGTCCATCACATGACGGTTTCAACATCGGTTATTGATCACTTTGATGATTGGGTAAGTTTATTTCTCACTACTATATAATGATGATTTGTCACACTGTGGGGACATCTTGATAAAGACCGCGAGACGGTCGAAACGTCGATTGGTATGTTCATTTAAAATACAAGTACTTATATATCAAATCCAGTGAGTGCTCTCGTTTTTTGCATTTTATATACTCGTTTGGAGAAGCACCTTGGTGTTTATAATTGTTTAACACTTTGTGGGCAGAGTGCCAGATTTTGGATGTTTATATATTTGGTGTGAGCACACACCTTCTGTTGCACCTCCAGCTTTCTTTAAGAAATTCTGAAAAGGATTGGATTGAGTAAACTTCTTTTATCAAGGTTTTCATGGAGGATTTTCTTTTGAGGGCTGGAGCCCTAGCAGATACTGCTGAAATTGTACAAATCTCAGCACATGATGCTGAAAATATTCTATGGCCAAATACCACTGCTGATTTAACACATACAGATACCATTAAAGATTTATATAATGATTTAATGAAGTTAAAGAGACGTGAAGTAGATCTGGATCTTCACGGTATTTTTATTTCCGATTATTATCGAGCAAAGAGAATTCCTAGAGGCTTTAGGGTGAAAAATGCACCCACAATTGGGAGGCAGAACCCAGAATTTTGTAAAAAATGGATGGGGATTGCTAACAAGTGCTCATTAGACTGGATGATTATTGTGGTGGAAGAGGTTAAAAATGAATTGGTGTTCACTAAGGAATCAATTAACAAGTTTGAGTTGCTACATGTAACCACGCTTAATGCAACAACCTCCACCCAACACCTTATGAAACTACAGGATGAAATCATGAGATATCGGAACGATCTCATTAGATTTAAGAAACAGAAGGTTGAGAAAGTAAATTTTGATTATACACACCATCAGGTGTATCACTGGATTAGTGGAGAAAGACGAAGACCAACTTTTAACAGAAATAAACAACGTATTCGCAAACCTCAATTCATTTCCATTGAAACAAGTTCAGCAGATTCAACCTCAGAAACAGACACCAGATTGGAACCAAACCAAGGTGCCAACATGAGATCCACGCAGTCAACCAGATCTACTACTTTTTTAGAGCTGGAACAACACACCAACGATCCCCCAGGCAGAATGATCCGCCCAAGGAGAGGTTCAAAAGATGGAGACCAATTAGAAGAGGACAAAGGAATAAAATTTATAAACACCAGGTCCAAACCTCCGTACAAGAGGAATTAAATCCTGTTATCAATTTATCTTCAAAAATACTCAATAATGATCATATCAGACTATTGTCTAAGGGACTTACTTTTGTACCATCAATTAAGCCAGATCCGTTCAAGATTGAAATTGAATTATACAAAATGAATCGGATTTTAAATATTCAAGCTTTACATAGCACAGAAACACCAAGAATGTCAAATCCATTCAAACTGAAAAGTACGTGGGAACCTAAAAATATGCATCACTCCATCAAGACCTTCTCTTCAATTCTAAGAACGGATATTAACAAAATAGTACATAATTCTCCACAAAGACCAGACAACCTCACTAGAACAGAGAGAGCCGCTCTCAAGGAATTGAGTGATGATGATCAAATAATCATTCGACCAGCGGACAAGGGAGGGGCGATTGTGCTCCAGGATTATGAGGATTATAGGCAAGAAATTTTATCCCAATTATCTGATGCAAAAACTTACAAGAAAATGTCGTTTGATCCAACGTCCAAGATTTTAAACAAAATTTCTAAGTGGATTACATTAGGAGTAACGGCAAAATGGCTAGATTCCAACTCTGCAGAATTCCTATTGAACAAACATCCTAAAATCCCTATTTTGTACACATTACCAAAGATACATAAGGATCTTCAAAAACCACCTGGGAGACCGATTGTCTCTGCCCGGATGGGTATACTGGAACCCATCGCCAAATTTGTGGATTTTTATTGCAAACCTACTGTAACACAGATCCACACATGCTTAAGAGACACGCAAGATTTTTTGAATAAAATTGAAAAATGCAACCTATTGGATCCTGATTATATTTTTGCCACGGCAGACGTAAAGAACCTATATACGGTGATACCACATGATAAGGGCATTGATGCGATGCGGAAGTTATTGATACAGTCAAAGGTTTATGATGGACCCCCCATTGAATTTTTAATGGAGGGATTACACTTAACGTTGTCGAATAACTATTTTCGCTTTGAGAGATCTTTTTACATCCAAGAAACAGGAACAGCGATGGGATCGGCTATAGCTCCAACATACGCTAACAGTTTTATGTTTGAGTACGAAAGTACGCATATTTTGCCACAATACACGGAGAAACTAATTCAATATCATAGATTTGTCGATGACATTTTTATTCTATGGAAGGGGACAGCATTAGAATTGGAGACTATGATAACAGATTTAAACAATCTTGACACACCAATTAAATTAACTTTAACACACCACACAGAGAGGATTCAGTTTTTAGATGTGGAAATTTACCGCAATAATACTAAAATTGGTTACCAACTATACAGGAAACCTTCAGATCGGAACACGCTGTTATATGCGACTAGTTTCCATCCTGCATCCTTAAAAAATTCCCTTCCAATTTCACAATTTCTAAGGGTATTCAGAAACAATTCCGACAGTGATACCTGCACAGCACAATTGGAGGCAATGACCAGATCCTTCTTGGAACGGGGATATAAACGTAACATCTTACATAAATGTCTGGAGAAAGCTGAAAAAATCTTTAAAGGCATAGACAGAAAGGATAGAAAGAAGAATCAAGGCATCACGATTCCATTACAGTATCACGCCCAAAGTTCAAAATTTTCACAAACCATCAGGAGAAGATGGGATATTTTATCTTCGGACAAGACGTTAAATCAAAAGTTTACTCACTCTCCAAGGATTGCGTTTCAACGAAACAGAAACCTTAGGGATATTCTGGTCAAGACTGACATCTTAAAATCCTATAGTCCTCTAACAGATAATATCCGGAAAGGCTGTTTTAAGTGCTCAGGCTGTGTTACCTGTGGACATATGCTCACTGGTTCTTCGTTTGCACATCCACACACAGGCGAGAGGATACAAATTAAGCATAGAATTACCTGCTTAAGCGATCATGTGATCTATTTGATTTCATGCCCTTGCGGGAAATATTACGTGGGCAAAACTGACATGACACTACGAGATCGGATCCGGGGACATAGATCAGGGATCATGACGGCCTTTCGTGATGGTAAAACAGAGAAGCCAGTTGCGAAACACTTCTTAGAATTTCAGCATCGTTTACCAACGTTGAGATTTATTGCCATCGATCAAGTTCCACCTTTGATGAGGGGCGGAGACCGATCTCAAAGACTTTTACAGCGAGAAACTTTTTGGATCAAACATTTGGACACGGTGCAACCACGGGGACTGAATGAGTATAACTCTTTCAATTGTTTTTTGAATACTCGTTGATTTTTGAGAAAAAAAATCGGGCCTTGGTCTAGTGATTGAAGTGATTATCATATTGATTTACTGTTCTCTTTGACCGAGAAGTGTTAGCTATCCTATCCCTTGTTTGATATCCAAGACACAGAGGTCTATGTATTAGGTGAGGTTGGCACTTTTAGACACCTTTGTAACATGCAGTTCTCATACACATGTGTTCTGGTCTTATTTTAGACTCCAGAATACTCTTATTCACACTGATGATATTATATACCATCAGTAACACATACATACCCTGTGTAGATTGATTGTGGTATTTCTAGTGGACCGAGTGAGTTTTCACATTTTTCATATTTTTTATATTTTTATACGTATTTCACATTTAGCAATTCACAACACATCACTTCACACACCATATATTTTCACATTATATACATATATACATCACCGTAACGTTGGTCACATAATTCACAAAAGACCCACACTGTACCTCTGTGGGTAGTCATAGCTCCTTGCCGAGATCCTCTCATTTATTAAGAGTTAGGGATAGGAACCCTTAATAGGTTACATTAAGGTTGAGAAATCATAAATTGCAATTTACGGTTTAGCCTGTACAGATTTCTTATTACACAGTACAACGTTAAGAAGCAGTTTTTCACAGCAACATAACTAATATATAATGAGGGTTTTTGCAAATTGATTAATTTTGCACAATCTTGTGATTTTGATATCATTTCATCTGATAAAGGTTGTTCCTCGTCTACATGCATACATATATTTTTGTTTGGGCATAATTATTATGGATTGATCACTAATTTTAGCGTCTTTTAATTCAGCTCGGTTATTTAGGAAACAGTTATCAGATAGAGAAATACTTTGAATCAGTTCTAATGTGGTATACTATGTATTGTAAATTTGTGGCCATGCATTCAATGTTGTGATATTGTTATAGATCCTCCTTGATGTTTTTATTGATATGTTGCACACGCTGGGATTGTCACTAGGCAACCCGGTTCACTGGGGTCATGTGATATGACGTCACCACGCACGCAATGGCGCGCGCCAGTGGACGTCTATCACATGACGGTTTCAACATCGGTTATTGATCACTTTGATGATTGGGTAAGTTTATTTTTCACTACTATATAATGATGATTTGTCACACTGTGGGGACATCTTGATAAAGACCGCGAGACGGTCGAAACGTCGATTGGTATGTTCATTTAAAATACAAGTACTTATATATCAAATCCAGTGAGTGCTCTCGTTTTTTGCATTTTATATACTCGTTTGGAGAAGCACCTTGGTGTTTATAATTGTTTAACACTTTGTGGGCAGAGTGCCAGATTTTGGATGTTTATATATATATATATATATATATATATATAATTCTGATTCTCCTTTTGTTCTCTCTATCGGACATCTTTTTTTCCATCACCAATCTCTTCTTTTTTGGGGGGCATCGTGGACATAACTCTGAATCCCAAAACAAATCAAACAGTTTGTGCATTGTCCATTTAGTTTTCTTCTTTAGATTAGTTGCCAATCACCCAAAATTCAGATAAATCATAATTTAGAAGGCACAGAATTAACATGTCTAAGTGTCACTATAAATCCATATTTTTGCCCCAAGTTTTGCTAACCTGTTCATGGGGGATTGGGAAGATAATTACATTTGGAACGCACATCCCTGGAATACGAATATTCACAGATATAAAAGATATATCGATGATGTTTTCTTCATATGGGAAGGTGAGAGGGAAGACCTACAAAAATTTTTAGAGTATGTAAATGAAAATACTTGGGGAGTGAAACTGAGCACCACCTGTAGTAAAACACAGGTAGAATTTCTTGATCTCATCATTTATATAGATTCTGGTAAAGTTAAAACAAAAACACATTTTAAAGAAGTAGATGTGAACAGCTTTATCCTCAAAGAGAGCTGTCACTTACCTACATGGCTTAAAAATGTACCTTATAATGAATTCAGACGTCTGAGATGAAACTGTACAGACTTTGAAGTATATTGGGAACAAGTAGGTATTGTAAAAAAGAAATTCCTGTCAAAAAACTATGAATGTAATGAAATAGCGGATGCTATTTGTAGAGTAGACAATTTAGACCATACAAATATTTTAAAGAATAGAGAGAAATCACAAGTGACAAGACAAGAGAGGTTAACACAGTAAAGGAGTTTAAGCATGCGTGGGATAGGCATAAGGCTATCCTAACTATAAGATAAGACTAGGGACTAATGAAAGTATTTAGAAAATTGGGCAGACTAGATGGGCCGAATGGTTCTTATCTGCCATCACATTCTATGTTTCTATGTTTCTATAAGATAAATTTCCAGCGATTATCCTAGACTTTAATAAAGAAAATGTACAATTAAAAAGAATATTGACAAAACACTGGCATTTATTGAAAAAAGATAAAATTCTTGCTAGTAGTTTACCAGAAAAACACAAAATCATCTTTAGGGGGGCACCCAATATGAAAAGGAAAATTACAAATAACCATCTAAAAGGAAGAAAGGATATGACTAGAATAAAAAAGAATGGTTTCTTCTACTGCTTAGAATGCATTGCATGCAAAACAAGCAAGAATAAACAAACAAAGAGAGTATTTGAAGTCACAAAAAAGAACTGAAAAAAAAGACAGAATCTTGCAAAATAAAAGAGCATATCACCTGTCAGAGTACCAATGTGATCTATGTACTGTAGTGTCCGTGTGGACTCCAGTACGTAGGAAGAACCAAGAGGAAGCTGTATGTGAGAATTAGAGAACATATGCTGAACATAAAGAAAGGTTATATGCAGCATTCGGTTTCAGCCCATTTTAAACAACAACACAATTCAGATATGAGCCTCTTGAATTTTAAAGGGATATGTAAAGTCAATAAGAACTGGAGAGGGGGAGATGAAAATAAAAAATTAGGGATCACTGAGATGCAATGGATATACAAACTAGATACGTTGCAGCCCAAGGGATTAAATGCAGAGTTTGAACTTTGTCATTATTTAGTATAATTTTTTTAATTTTTTTTTATATAGGAATTGTTCCCCCTTGTTTTTATATATCCATTTTAAAGTTTATTTACTTGTGGTTTTGAGTTCATTTTATTTGAAGCAGTGTCAGAATTTGGACTTAGATCTTAAATTCGACACTACTGGTATATGTGTTTTTTATAAATATGGTCTGAAGTTGTAATATAATAATATGGTAATGATCCATATTATAATGAGGATAGGATCAGATCTAAAGGGAGAATTGCGTTTATAAAACTCTTTCTTTATCTCACTCTTTCTTTCCCTTTTTTTTGAGAACGGCAGTTACATTCAAACCTGCTCGAGCGGGCGGGTGTTACTATAGTGACGTGAATAAACATAGAATACAAATACATTGTACAAAATGAAATAACAATTTGCAATTTTTATAAAGTGTTTGATACAATATGACCGTTAGCTATTTGAAGAATATCTGTTTTGTTGCAACACATATTGCTAATTAATGATTTGCTGGGATTCGAGGATACTATAGAAATGAATACTAAGGGACAGACCGCATCCATTAGAAAGCCGCGAAGCGGAGAAACGCGTCTGGAGAGGTCTGACTCCTATCGATACCAGCCATCACTTTTATCTCAAAGAGGACCATCACTTGATAATTGTTCAGCATTTTACATCTTGCTGACTCGGGACGCCGAGCTTTTAATAAGGTCTGGACTCTTTTTTAATGTCTTTATGGATATATAAATTTTTGCAACAGAAGAAGTTTCTTTTATACTTGTTGTGATGTTAAGATTATTAATAAATGAAATTTTAAGTCACTGAAATGTATTAGTAAGGTCACAGACCTACTAGTTAATATTTATTAGAAGAGAAAGGGTTTATGTATTTACATAAATCCATATTTGGCAGAGAGAGATAAACCGAATGGGTAATATTCTTCGGATTACATTGACCATCTTCTCTTATAGAAAAGTGTCCTTTTCCATTTTTATCATTGATCCTACTCGAGTCTTCTGGGTTAATTATCTTAGGTTTTATGCAAGTATTCTTTAGAAATAAACAGAGCACGTACAGGACAGGGCCATTTGTTTGCTTACAGTCATGCATATGGATACATTTTCTGAGTTTAATGATATGTGTCATTCTGTGCATTTTTCAATTTATCACTGAAGAATGATTTCCAACTTACCAATACAACTGCACATGCAAGAATGATAAGGGTACTTGATGTTCTGCAGTGACACTTGGCTTTGGTTGCCTAGGTAGCATAGCATATTCCTGCATCTCACCTGTGCCTTAGGTGTATGACTTTGGCAAGTACCCAAAAACTTTAAAAGTTTCTGCCTGAGTTCTGCCTTTTCCTGTTCCCATACCTGCTAAATGGATATCTAATCTCTAGCTTGTACTTTGAAACATAATCCCATGCCTTCTGTCCTAACCTATTTAATGGACAGGAGCACCATATACCTCTATACAAATACAAAGGCTTCACTCATTTGCTGTTCTTTTCCCAAGAGATTCTTCTAACTCCCGCGGGGCGAAACATAAAACATAAAACATAAATCCTTGAATTTACAAAGCATTACCTCCATACTCTTTCTGTTAACTGGGTGGGAAAATGTATGTTCAACCAATGACAAATACGTTAATTTAAAAAAAAACTCCATGTGACTTAAGTGCAGTGTATCCAGATAAATGAATTCAAGGTATATGGCAGACAATTGAAAGTGTAGTATAATGTTCACAAGTGAATAATAATTGATTGAACTGATTCTATTTGCAGTAATACTCATTCAGTTACAATTAAAGGGACACTATAGTCACCAGAACAATTACAGCTTATTGTAGTTGTATTGGTGAGTATAATCATTATATGCAGGCATTTTCATGCACACACTGCCTTTTCAGTGAAAAGGAAGTGTTTACATTGCCCCTAGGGACAACTCCTCAGATGGCCTCTGGAGGTGCTTCCTGGCTCAGTGCTGCATAGTAGGCAGCACTGTCATTCAGCGTCTTCACTCTCTGCATGGGGAGGCTGAATTTTCCTCATAGAGATGCATTCCCCCACCCCCCGCCCCCATTGCAGATTTTAGGCAATCTGACGATGTCACCAAGAGAGCGAGGCCAGCACCAGCAAACCCACACTACGCTAGAAATAAGGTGAGTTTTAAACTTTTATATGGAGGCTTACGGGGGGGCCACCTAAATGGTGGTTTTAACACAATAGGGTCAGGAATACATGTTTGTGTTCCTGACCCTATAGTGTTCATTTACATACCTTTTATTCTAGCCCAACCTATCTGAACATTTGGGTTAGGTGGACTTCTACTTTTTGACAGCTATGAACAATCCACCTCACATCCATCATATGAAATGAAATGGAATTCTTACTACATGGAACTTTCTGTGTAAACACAAATAGACTAAATGATAAGTAAATAAATGTTCTAAATGTGAATTCAGAGTTGATGCATGACTGATGTTTCCATTACAACAAATAACAAGGCCTTTCACATTTTTGGAACAGGAAATATATTTTATTTTGTTTGTCTATATGCACAGTTTGTTAGCCTTATTGTGTTATGGCTAGTTAATAAGTTAAGAAATAAAATTAAAAAAAAATATTATATAACATCATAAAATAGATCTGTCTGGGGTTTTACAGCAGAGCTCTGTAAAAGTTTTTTTTTTTTTTCCAAAACACATATAGATCCAAGACATTTATTATAATTGTATTTATTGTGGTACTTGTTTTAGACTGTATGCCCATCAAAAAATAAATTGCTGTTTTAGATAATACTTCTTTCTTGCATTAAAGGAAAACTGCCATTAAATTATCACTTTTCATTTTCCAAAAGTTTGTTATATTTACAGAAACGTAATTATTTTTTAAAAAAAAACATTAAAAGTAATAAACTTTTAAAATAAAAAAAAAGAGGAAGCGGACAGGTATTGATTTGTCACATTGATATCCATATTTATTTATTTATTTATTTATAAAATATTTTACCAGGAAAGATACATAGAGATTTCTCTCGTTTTCAAGTATGTCCTGGGTCCACAAAACATTGCATTGATAGAGTAGGATACAATAAAATGCAAAAACAATATTAATACACAATTTATACAAAGTGTAACATAGAACAGGTAGGAAATATATAATCAACCATGACACGTGCATTCTGTTTTGAGGTATGTAGAGAGGGATCTCTTAAAGGACTCTAGACTTAGGGAAGATTTTAAATTGTGCGGGAGGTCGTTCCACAATTGCGGTGCTCTGTAGGAGAAGGAGGATCGGGCTGCTTTCTTTTTGTATTGAGGTAGACTAAATAAAGTGCTTGTACTGGATCGGAGGTTATAGGAGGTGGAAACAGCTGGGGAAAGCATTTTGTTCAGGTAGGGTGGGAGTTTCCCAGAAAAGCTCTTAAACACAAGGCTGGAAAGATGAAGGGTGCGTCTGGATTCCAGCGACAGCCAGTTTAGTTCTTTTAGCATGTCACAATGGTGGGTCCTGTAATTACATTGTAGCACAAATCGGCAGAACGAGTTATACAATGTGTTGAGTTTATCAGTGTGGGATTGCGATGCAGATATTACCACATCCCCATAATCAATGATTGGCATCAGCATTTGCTGTACAATCTTTTCCTTTACTGTAGGGCTTAAGCGGGTTTGTTTCTGTACAGGGCACCTCGTTTTGGATAAAGTTTAGATTCAAGTTTTTCTATGTGCAGGGCAAAAGATAGATTGAGGTCTAA